CGTCGCAGGCTACGGCCTCGGCAGGAGCGAGACGGATGGAAGGGTCCAAGATGAAAGAAGGGTCGAGACCCTCGTGATCCCTCGGCTTTATGCCGAGTATGATGAACGTGGGATGCAATACCTCGTTGGTCAGTTTTGGGTCTGCTTCCCCCTGTAGGCGCAGACACAGCACCCATGATGAGACAACTGACCTTGAGCTTATCTTCTAGCAGCACTGTTTGGGAAAAACATCCTGGTAGTTTTCAGCAAGTTCAGCCACTTAAAAGAGGCTGAGCTGAAAAGTAAAATCACTAAATAGAAAATCAGTTCTATTTAGCTCAAACCAGGACACAGCTGCAGATGGTCAGCTGTTTCCTGATGTTTATATCCTGAAGATAAAGTCAGTAGTGATGTTTTTGGTTTTTTTTCCCCAAAGCACGAGGTCATTGCATTATCAGAGGAAGGCAACTCATTCTTTTAAATGGAAAGGTCAATTTGCTTATGCCACTTTGTGAGGAAAACTCTAACTGTTCCATTTGTCCATTCTCTGCACTGTGTTCAAAGTGCTCCTTAGCATCACAGGCAATTAGATGCTTAGATTTTTATTTTTTTTTTGTGCATACCAAGAAAATGGATCTCTGAATGAACAGCACAGTTTAGTTCCTAAGATGAATTCATTTGTGGTGTCGGCTTGTCAGCAGGAGGAGCAGAGGCTAGCAGAGGTGAAGAGGCAGGAGCAAGAACAGAAGAAAATGCCAGAGGAACAAAAGGCTAACGATATAGCCCAAACACAGCACCTAGAAAACAAAGAGGTAATTCTGCTCTCTCTGGTGAAGTGTCTTTAAGGGATGGCATCAGAGCACTTTGATTCTAGCACTGCCATGCTGTTACAATGGGCAGTTTTACCCTTCCTTTTTTCATTTCCTTTCAATAATGGAGGGATTCAATAACCATTTTTCTTGGTTACCTCTAGTTGGTTCCTGGTAGCTCTGAGTATTTGATTGACCTTGGGGAGTGAAAAGGAAGGAAGAGAAGCAGCAAGAATTTGCCAGGGTTTTCTTATTGTCAGGAAAAGGCAGTGGCTGTTAAGGTTGCCTTGCTTTTCTAAGCTTTTTAATACTGGCTGAACCTCACGGGCAGTAGCGATGCTGAAACATTTATTTAAGCTCAAAATTGGAAACAGCCACAGGATGGCAGCAGGGGCTGTCAAATTGTCCTGTGTTTGGGCCTCACTGCCTAGAACTTGAAAATCCTGAAGGCGAGGTATGCGTCTTGAACGCAAATGTATGGATCTTTATCTCCTTCCAAAGCTAAATATTTAAATCTTTAAATGCAAAACCAGTTAAATAGGAGACATAATGTTAATGGATGCAAAACCATGCAGGTAGCCTCTTATGAGGGAGAAAAACATTTCCAGCTCACTAGAGATACTTGTTCCTCTGGTTAAGGACTGACTTAGTTTCAAGGCTGGTAAGATTTGCAGTTTTAAGCTTTTCTTCATCACCTGCATTTTCCTCGGTCGTGCTGTTCCCACCAAAATTGCAATATAGCTTGTCCTGAGCTCATGTGTGCCTATTCTCTACAAGGTAATGCTCAGTTTAATACTATTGAACAAGCCCAGGAGTTTGGTTGCAGAGTATTTCAAGCACAATACTTGACTTCAGCTTTGAGGATGCAACAAATCCATTTAAGCCTTACTTGAACTGAATGGAACTTCTGTATCTGTATTAGATGCATGTATTGCTGGCTTGTTGATGCCATATGTAGCCAATTAAGCAGCCTAATGAAACAGGAGAAGGCAATGCAAAATCATAACTGGGTCAAAACTTTAGAACTGCCAGATGTCAGGTTTTGCAATTAGGTGATAAAGCAAGAGGTGAGATCTTGAGGAATTTTAGTTGAGAAGTGTCTCACTGCCACTCAAAAGTGTAGCAGTGCCGTTGCATCTAACGCCCGTGGGATGTATTTGTCTTCTAGAATTCACCTGCCTGTAATTCGTACCAGATGACTCCGCAGTCCCGGAAAGAGCCAAAGCTCACCACAACAAATCCAAACAACTATGGGCTGGATCTAAACAGCGATGACTCTACTGATGACGAAAGCCAGCCCCGCAAGCCCATTCCAGCCTGGGCCACTGGTACGTGTTAGCAGGTTGAAGTCTGTTCTGAGAGCCCCCAACAAGCCCTACTGCAGCTTTGCTCCAACAGATAACAAGAGCTGCTATAAGATTTTGCCCAGCTCCTCCTACTTGCACACTGCGGTTAAAAATACTAACCCCAGCAGCATGGCTGGAGTGCTTAATTCAAGGGCTCCTCTACCACTTGGGGAGCTTCTTGTGATAATGTTGGGGAACAAATATTCTCTTAAACTGCTTTAACAGAGCTGCCAGTGTTTATTTTCCCAATGTGAAAGGAATAATTCTGATCTAGTGCTCTGGCCCTGAGCTTGCTTGACATTGATTTGGCTTTAAAAAGCAAAGTCATGCTAGATGTCATGGACCGGGTTCCAGACTGGCAGTCATTCTGGTTCTGAAATGCACGGTTCCATGGTTTCATATTCCGCCTACCTCAGAGGAGCTAAGAAGTTGCGAGGAAACTAATAATATATGTGGGAAGAAAAGCTGAGACACCTTGGCTCTTGCAAATTTATTCTAGTTCCTAGACGGAATTCAGTGCACGCAATATTTGCCCTCCAACTGATCTATGCTGAAGCTTTAGGCTTAACCAGGGCGCTTTTAAAACATCAAATACTGCAGGATTTCTGCTATTTGCAATCTCAGTGTGATTAGAGATGAGGAGAGCGGGGACACCGCATACAAACAGCCTACACAACCACTTCAATTAAAAAAATTAATGAAAAATTTAATCTTTTGTTTCTCCAGGGAATCAGCTTAGCCAAGCTGTAATCCGCCAGTACTACAACCCTCCCAACATTGACGTGATCTTTGGGGTGATCGCACCTCCCAAACTGGAGGACATCTTTTACAAAAGCAAACCGCGCTACTTCAAGCGCACAAGCTCCGCTGTGTGGAACTCTCCACCGTTTCCAGGTGCCAAACCGGCTCTGGGTCGGCCGTACAACCTGAAACCGTTCTGAGGTGGGCAGTGGCCGTTTCTTGTGAAGCAGTGGGTGTTCATTACCTTCTCTCTAGGTGAGAAAAGAGTTACTGTTCAGCATCTGTAAATCTTTAGGTATTAGCATTGAATTAAATGTAAGCTTTTACTGGGCCTCTTGCATTTTCTCTTTTCGGGACTTGTTTTCTTACTGTTAGGCAAAACAGTAAGCTTTTGGGAGATACTGCCTCGGAAAGATGCATTTCCTTTTACCCTTAGCTTTAAGCTGGCAAAGATTTAGAACTTCAGGTCATGAGTGCATCGCCTAAAACTGTGATCCTCCCCTCTTCAGCCAAGCAGGTCTGCTAATGGCTGCCAGCAGCAGATGAAAGCCATGCATCTGCACGCTCCCTGCCCACCACGTGGCTGCAGCCAGAGCACTTGTACAGCTAAGGACTCCTGTGTGCATCCTGAGTAAGATCCAGATACACCTTACTGATGTTCTCCAGAAGCCAGATGTGAGCAGGTGTGCTTGTCGTCACCTCCTGCAAATTGCAAAGTGATTTTGTTGCTCTGTTTTTCAGCAATACTCTTTATGCCAACACCGAGCGCGATGTTGTGCATAAGCGAGATTGATACCGATGTTACTGCAGCTGGGGTTGAAATACCCAGAGGGTTTTATTGATGCTGGAGAGAGGTGCGACCTCAGCGTGATTGAATCTCCAGGAATGACCAGAGAAGCTTCAGCAGACTTTGCTCCAGGTTTCAATAAGAGAAATTGTACAAAGAATTTTGTTTCTCTTATTTAAATGCCACATCTGTGGCACAGATTGGATTGAAGGCAGGAGTTTAATGTTAATCCCTGTATTTCTTTTCTCTCCCTTTGGTTGTTTCATTTGCTCAGCAGCAAAGCTGGTTTTATTTTGAGGCCTGTTTTGCACTTCATGTTCAATAAGGCAGTGTCAAGTGGACCGTTATTGAAACAATTTCTTCTTAATGGCAGCATCTCAGCGCAGAATTTGAGTTCCAAGAGCATTCAGCGTTTTACTCATTCTTTCTCACACCCAACTTGAAAATGGCACAGACACTTAAGTTTTCTCTGTCCTGAGCTCCTGGATAGAGTGGATGTCTCAGCAGAACAGGACTTACTGGAAGATTTTAAGGGAGCAGTTACGTGAATTTCTGCAGGTTGTTGTGGAAGTGTCTTCTGCAAATGAGGCAACCTTTGTGGTTCTTACTTCAGATTCTTTTCTTCTTCTGGCTTGATTTCTTTATTTTAAGTTGGGTGAGCATATTCGTGGCTGCCGTTTACAGCAGACAAAATGCTGAAGAACGCTGTTTCTGTGTACATACAACCCTGTCCTTTAAAAAGAAACCACTGTACGGAGATGACACCGTGTGTAAGGAGACTTGTGCTTTTCTTTGTGTTAACAAACTGTTCGCAAGCAAATGTCTTTAAGATTATGTGGGGTTTTATATTTAAATGCATCCACGTTAGCTGCTGTGCTATTGATCAGCGCTCTTATCTGCGAGATGGTTGTGCTTTGATAGGTGCTCTGTAGACTGAGTTTTGTATCTTAGAATGAACGTAACCTTTTTTTTTTTTGTGAGAAAGCTTGCTGAAATGGCAGATTTTTAAAGTTGAACGCTCTTTGAATGTCTGACAGTCTGATAAAAGTGCGTGAAATCGTCTCTGGGCTTCTCTTCTTGACTTGTATTAGAAAAATCTGCAGTGTGTTGAAGTCTGTCCTTTTGGGTTGCTTTTGCACGGTTTCCTTAAGATAGGAATGTTCTCTTTAGGAAGAACTTCGTAACTCCTGCTGCAGTGGAAAATATCTGTGCTTTGGTAGCCCTGCAGGATTTGCTGACGAGTTTTACTCCTTTTGTCTCTGGAAACTGGGAGAGGGACAGTTTGACATGATGATATATTCCCAGAAATCTTTGCTAAGGCATGCATGACTTGAATTCCTCTTGACCTAACCTTCGTCCCTGCAATTCACTGCTTGTGCTACTTCAGAAGAGACTCAGAACTGTCACCACCAGATGGAGCAGGAACTTCAGGCACTGTGCATGACTGCAGCACTGGTATTTAAAAACACACAAAGAAAGAAAACATGAATAGAAATCCCAGAAAATGACAACCTCAAGATTTTAAATAAGAGACTTTTCATTCTTGATTTCAGGTATTTCTCTTAATTTTCATTCCTGCAAAAAATGAAATTTCTCCTGCTTGCCCTGTGCTTTCTGCTCTGTGCCTGGCCTGGCTCTGAGCTGGGCCTCCCTGGAGGTTCTGCTCCATGTGGATGTCCTCCCTTGGGCAGAATTTTGGTAAATATTGCACAGGCAGATTTTAGAAGCTGCTCTGAGTGAAGACTGCCTTAACCATAAACCCCCAGTTGTTTTGCCATAGTTCCAGACATAGTTCCAGACATACTCTGGCTTGCATGCAGGGATTATTCTGCCCTTCTGCCCTGGCTCTGAATCAGCTCTTCCGTTCTGTTGCCTGTTCTGAGTTATAGAAAAGGTGGGTAAAAGCATCGGTGACAGCACGGCAAGATTCACCCAACCTGGTGCCCAACATCTAGAAAAGTGTAACAGGGCAAGCAGAAAAGTGTTTCTCATGTGAGAGAACTTGGCCATCAGTAACTTGCAACCCTTCATTCCATTGGTGGAGGGGGAAATAATCTGATATATATTGTCTTTTCTAGACTGATACAATTTCCTTGGAGTCACAGGAAATACCTGGAGCCAAATGATACCAAACAAAACCATGGGATTGCTACCACATGGTAAACTTGTGATCCTTTGAAGTTAGTTGAGGTCTCAAACCTAAAACTGCTCCAAGAACGAACATGTAAAAGCAAAGATGTTTCTGGATGAGACTATTTAAGGGCACGTTGTGCCTGGCTCTGGCTTAATGAACACAACACTCTCCTGTAGCTGAGGCTTTCCAGACAGCCCATGTGCAGATGACCTCCATCCTCACCTGTGGGCAGGGCCCTGCCAAGGACATGGTTGTGGTGCCTTCCCCAGCATGATGGTTAACAGAGCATGGGCTGGACAAAAAGCAGAGCTCTGTCCTTAGTCTCTTGGATTTGTTCACCCCAAGTGAGTGCCAATAGATTGGTCTGGCTGCAACAACCTGACTGCCCAGCCTGTCTGGATGTAGGATGCTCGGTATAGGTCTGGGAAGCAACAGCCTTCTCTGCACCACTGTCAGCACAAAGCGCTCCCTTGTTATGTGGGGGCTTCACGAGGATGTGGGTCACCTGCAGAGGGGCCTGAACGGAAGGTGTAGTACGGGCAGGGTGAACGGTGCCTTGCTTCAGACCTGAGGGCCAGGCTTGGGGTGTTAGGACAGTCAATGCTCAGCCTGGACCTCCTAGGCTAGAAGTAAGCTAAGTGCCCTTGGGATGCTAGAACCTCCCCCAGTAGCTGCCACTTTATTGCAAGTTATTGACAAGTCCAAAAAAGAAGAGGGTTTGGGGGTGGTTAATATTGTCTCGTCAATACCTTGTAGAAAAGGAATACTGGGAATTAATTCAGGCAGTCAAGCAGCTGGGAGGGCAGATTCTTGGCCAAGAGAAAAAGTGTTTCCAGTCTTAGATGTTTCCACTTAAGCTTAGGAGCGATGGTAAAACCTGTAGCTGCAACTTTTGCCATTGGACATTACCTGCAATAGTGAGACAGATTCTGGCCTCAGAGAAAACGCTCAGTGTTACTGCTGAGCCATTCAGCTCTTATTTCATAGCACTGGTCTCAACAAAGTTACCTGAGATCTTTGCTTCTCTCAGATACCTTGAAGGTAAGCAGAGTTGGACACTGTTTTGCAAACTGCAGGTATGGAGAAACAGCAGCTCGCCGCTCTGAGCTGAGCTGTCGTGGCTCAGCTTTGTCCAGAACTTATTTTTTCTTTAAAAAAAGGACTTTTTTTACTCGTCCTCGGCAGTATGTGACATGGGCTAGGAACCATGAACCAGGGCCGCTCAATATGTCCTCAGGATCACTGACACTTCAAAGCATTTCCTCTGGATTCGTCTTCAGGTGAGATCCCAATCCTGTCTGGGCTCAGAGGTGCTGAAAATTTAGCACAGAAAAGCCAGTTTCAAGTAAATAGAACTATTAAAAATCACTTTTAAGCATGCACGAGTGCTTGGCACCCCACCCACAGCCTTACTGCAGTTCTGTTCCCATTGCCTCTGCCCATTTACACTTGATGAATTAGTTTGGCATTTCCTCTATTAAACATCCTTTACCCTTTGAATTAAAATAAAGCTCGTGCATGTGGCTGTTCTGCAGCTGGCACACAACGACCGTATTCTTTGTGGCTTCTCAGCCCTTCCTGGGAGGATGTGGCCATGTGTGAGCAGAGCAGCCCTGCCCAGGTCAAGTCCCAGCTTGGTCAGTGCTGAACCAGCCATTGGCAGCCAAAGAAACACGAAAATCCCTCGGCTGTGATCAAGAAATGGGCCAAGGGCGGGAGGATGGGAAGGAAGCAGAGTCAGGAGAAGCTGTCTGGGGGTAAAACTGAGGTGAAGAGGGAGCAGAGGGAGCTCTGTTGAAATGACAGTGGGCAGAAACTGCCTGCCCTGGTGGAATCGGCCGCTCTGGTTTCTACTTGTAAGTGCCTGTTTGAGTGCCAAGAGCTCTCTGCCCCTCACTGCCGCTCCCTCAGTCCAGGTGGCTGTGTCCTGCAGTGTTTGCACAGCACAAAACGTTGACCGCTGGAACAACAAACAGATTAACAATCCCCCTGGGGCAGGTCAAGCCAAATCCTGCTGCTTTTTTCCTTGAGAACGCCGTGTTTATTATGCACCTTAGCCTAAAACGCTCGCTAATAAGGTGGCTGTAGGTCTTTGCTTATGTCCTGTGTGGAGGTTAAGCTCTGAGTTCTCATGAAGGGTTGTGGCTTCAGTTGCCTTTGAGATGCAGCCTCAAGCCCATCAGCCAAGTTTGCTGATGACACCAAGCTGGGAGG